GCAAGAAGCAGAAAAGGCCTTGGCCCCATGTAAACACTCCTCAACAATAAGTCCACAGAACAAAAACAACCTCTATATTATCAATGCTGTCTCCAGCACAAATCCAAAACATATCCCCACACTAGCTACTATGAAGAAAATCAATCCTCTCAGCTGAAACCAGGACACTCAGCATTCATGGGTGCATCCCACTGGGATCCATCAATTTATGTATGGCCAGTTTGTCAGTATGCCCTGATCTGCTCCTCTTCCACCAAGGATACATATTCCTTGCTCCACACTTTTCCCCTCGTCTCTAGGGCCTGGGATTCCTGAAGGCCAATATTGCTAGTAAAGACTGAAAAGAAGGCTGCCTTTTCCATGTCCTGCATCACCAGGGCCCCTGCCCTGTTCAACAGGGGCCCCACATTTCCCATAGTCTTCCTTTTGCCATGTACGTACTTAGAGAAGCCCATCTTGTTGTCTTTGACATTCCTTGCCAGATTCAATTCATTGGGCTTTAACTTTCCTGACTGCATCTCTGCATACTCAGACAGTGTCTCTGTATGCCTCCTTTTTGTGTTTGAGTTTTGGCAGGAGCTCCTTGCTCATCCATGCAGGCCTCCTGGTGTTTTTGCCTGACTTCCTGCTCGTTAGAACCCACTGCTCTTGAGGTTGGAAGTGGTGATCCTTGAATATTAACCAGCTTTCTTGGGCCCCTCTTCCCTCCAGGATCTTATCCCATGGGACTTTACCAAGCAGATGCTCTAACAGGCCTGAGTCTGCTCTCCTGAAGACCAGTAATATGATCTTGCCTTCTGCCCTGCCTCCTTCTCTCATGGTCACTGCAGCCAAGGCTGCCTTTGATCTTCACATCCCCAATGAGCCCCTCCTTGTTGTATGAGGTATAACAGAGCACGTCTCCTCATCAGGTCCTGTGTCACTTGGGTGAGGAAGTTGTCACTGATGCTCTCCAGGAACCTCCTGGATTGCTGATGCCCTGCTGCGTAGTCCCTCCAGCAGATACCAGAGTGGGTGAAGTCCCCCTGTGAGGGCTGCAACCTGTGAATATGAGGTTACTTCTAGCTTTTTGTAGAAGGCCTCATCTGCTCGTTCCTCCTGGTCAGGAGGCCTATAGCAGACATCCACTACAATGTCACCCATATTGTTCTGCTCTTTAACCCTTACCCTTAAGCTCTCAGTTGGCTCATCATCCATCCCCAGGCAGAGCTCCAGGCATTCCAGCTGCTCTCCTACATAAAGAGCAACTCTCCCTTCCTTGTCTTCCTGTCCTGTCTTACCTAAAGAGCCAGTATCCCTTCATTGCAACACTCCACTTACATGAGCCATCCCATCATGTCTCCACGATCCCAACAAATTCACAGCCCTACAACTGCCTGCAGATGTCTCATTCCTTGTGTTTACTTCCCATGCTGCTTGTATTGCATGCACATGCACTTCACAGAGGCTCCCCACCATGCTGATTTCCCAGAAAGGGTTTTGGTGTTTCCCCCTAACAGTGCTTTATAGGCACATCCCTGTTTACATCCAAATGCTGGAGGTGACCCTGTTTAAGTCCCCTTTGCTGATTTTGTGTTCCCTTTCAGGTACATCATTCCAGGCCCTTTGCTCCTCAACCCTGTTTATCGCTCCCTCACAGTGCTGCTGGTAACTCTCTCCCTCCCCTGTCACCCCTACTTCAAAGCCCTCCTTATCAAGTCACCCATCCTGCGGGCAAAGGTACTTCTGCCCACCTTACTGAGGTGGATCCCATCTCTCCCAAGCAGTTCTTTGCATTCACAGAACTACAAGCCTAGTTCTACTGTGTAAGCCAACCTAACAAATGCTTCCCCTTTTCTCTTCCACACCACTTTTGCTATGTGATATACATAGCAGCAGCCAACTCAAAACACTGTCCTACAACTCTGATACGCACTCTCAATGGATTCATTTAACAGATTTTACTGTTAATAAGAACCCTGCAAATCCCTGAACAACCAACCATCATCACTCCAAGATTTGAACTTCTAGAATTAGCTTTTCAGCTGAAAAACCTAATCGCTTTAAATATTCCACTAGCTCATAGAATGTCTCAAGGTGGAAGGGACCCATGAGAATCGAGTCCAACTCCTCGCAAGATTACCTAAAAGTAAACCATATGACTAAAAGCATCATCCAGATGCTCCTTGAACTCTGAATGATGCTCCTAGCTATTCCAATTAAAACACTTACTGACAGAGGGTAAAGTCAGGGCTTGCTTAAGTACTGCCTTAGGAAATGTCACCATAACTTAACAGACAGGGCAAATGTTCCTGTTGCTTCTGGTATTCCCATCCAGTAAACTAAAGACAACTGATGATGAAATTAAATTGAGTATTAGCTCTCTGTGGTACTCCCTACTCACAATCCTCTTGAAAATGATTTAAGGCAAGACACTACCTGATAAGGGGACTGAACTAGAAACCAGATACATCAAGTGACGAGGATTAAAATTACCCTTTTTCTAGAGGACTTAATCCATCTCATTACGCAAACATATGTACCAGTACATCTCAGTGCTGCAAACTGCAACACAAATGACCAGAACTATTTTGATTGCTATTTTAAGCTGGCTTCAGTATGAAAGATGTCATCTCTCAAAACTACCCCAAGATTTTTTTTTTTAACATACATATATATATATATGTGGTTTGTACTAACAGCTAATGGAGATTTTTTTAGGAAGAAGTCTTAATCTAGGCAGCAAATGTACTGTCTTTCTGTCTGAAGTATTAACACAGAAGTGAAGCTGGCCAATTGTTTTTTTCCATATTTATTTAGAAAAAGGGTATACCAATGCTTTCATTTTTCAACATCAGGAAAAGCTGGACACTGAAGAACAGCCCAACTTCTTTGCAAAAGAAATCTTTCTATTAAAAGATTTTCAAGGAAAAATGAAACAATTACAGTCGCTTCAGACACTGTCACTTAGATGGCAAGCTCTTCTCAGAGGAGAGATAGCAAACACTTTCTTCCTTCAGCTTGCCACCTTGTGCAGCTCCCCAGCACACTGAGCTGACCTTCAAGCTTCGTGTTTGGTCAGGGAGGCTGGATCCTGGCACTGAAGAAAAAGTATATTCTACAGAGTTTAGTTTATAAAACTTCAAAGTTTTTTAAACAGTGAAAAGCATCTTGCTGATCCAGCATACTGCTGCAATTGTACTGTTTTCTCTTGAAGAGAGAGGCACAAAAAAGTGGTAAAAAATAAAGTAAGCCTGACTGAGGAAACAGCTGAACTATGAGATCACTTGTTTGTAAGAAACTACAAATCACCTAAAGAACTTCCATTATTCTCATTAGTAGAAGAGCCAAGTAATATTTAAAGCATATTTAGACAGACTGGATACTGCAAGATGAAGCACTTAGCAACTCTATTCACATGGAAAGCTGAAAATGATGCTTTGTCATCATGACGTATCAAATTAGATATGATCTGCTCTCACAGATTTTAGGGCCCCAGTACACAGTTAAACACTTCCAGGTATGAAATACATCACCACAAGTTCACACTACGAGAACTATTTCAAATTGAGGAAAAAGGATATCCTACCAAGAAAACACACATGTAAAATATACAAATTCTGTAACCTAGTAAAGCAGGTAATAAGTTAAAACAGCTCACAAAAACCAAGGAAAATCTACCAACACATATTTTAACCTGTGTCCTCTTAAGTGCACACTAAAGTAGTACACTGCTTAGAGAAGCACACAAGCCAAGATTATTCGTACCAAAACACAGTAGTATATGGAAAAAAAAATGGTGAATGTAATTTTTTTAAATTGCTGGGTTTTTTTCATACAGACTGTACTGCAGTACTGTGTCTTCTAATTACAGTGCTGTCTATCGAGAGATTTTTGGGTCAAAGTCCACAAAGAAAAGAAAAAACAAAACTAAATCTAGGAACGGTGATCCTATAGCATTAGAGTCTGGGAAGGGGTGGGAGTGTACAAAGCCATTGATATGGTCCAAAACAAATGATAAATGGTTTTATTTGAGTTCAGAATACTAGCCGACTAAACTTAGGACACCAGTGTCATTTCCAGAGGTAAGGGGTTTTATCACATGGCAATGACTGCACTCGGATTATTTTACCCAGCAGTCAGTGCCCTCTGGAGAAGGAGAACCGAATTTTCATGCAAATCAACCACAGGCTATGAGGAAAAAAACTCACGTGAAATATTTATCTAGTTGATTTCTGATAAGTGTACACACACAATTGTGAAACACACAAACTCCAAAGGTAACTACAGAGGTAGCTGCACTTGTGTTTATGTTTCAAACATAATACTGTTCTGGGAAGATATGTATAGCTACTGTGAGAACTATTACAGTGTCCTCTGTTGTGCAACACTTTTTGTTTAGGGATTGACATTTTAACATTTATTATGACTTTTTGAGGGTGTCTCTGCATACCTCATGCAAATATCATCCAATTAACTTGACATTATCAATCAAGTTTAAACAGGAACGCAAAATTAGTCTTGTATTTTAAGCTATTACTTCCTTAAGTTTGTCTCCCAAAAGTTCTGTTGGCTTGATTTTACTGGGGGGAGGTGGGGGATGGAGAGGGGAAACACACAGAGAAAAAAACCCCAAAACAAAACCAAAACCAAACACACACCAAGAAAAGCAGACTCTAAAGGGGAAGTAATGACAGACTATAGCTATGAGTATGTGAGTTGGACAAAACTGGACTAACTAATAAGGTATCCAACCTCATTTTTGACATGTATTTATTTTGGATGTACCCACATGTATCAAAACATGAAATACAATTCCAGTTTTACACTTGCACCACAAGCTGCATTCACTATAGTTATGCCAGCAACATATGTATACCAACCTTGATTCAAGTATGTAAGAGTTTCATCGTATAATTTTACTGCTGGAGATGTTGCAGCACACATAACATACTGGAAGGGTGGATGTTTGGTCTCATTTTCTTGTGGAAGGCTGGAATCTTCCTGTTTGAAAATAGGCAGTGCCAAAACATCACTGAAAAGAAAAAAGAAATAACTTCATGAAACTGTTGGTCCTGTTTTGCCTGAAGTGAAAGAAAAAAAGTATGTTGTGACGTAAAAAACCACAGTGGAATTGTGTCACTCAGTTTACTAGTAAAACCAATGTGAGCAGTATCCAAACATTTTTCACTGAAATTTTAGGCTAGGATACATAACAATGCTCTGGGAACTAAGCAGACAATAAAGCTGTGCTGATCCTCAGTTCTTGTCTCCACTGAAAGTATTCAGTTTACTCCTAACTTTTCACCTGTTGACATAGGCAAGCTTGCATAATACACGTGCAGTGGAGAACAGTGCATTTACTTTCTTCTTCAAAATAATGTATTCCCCAAAGTTAGTTAGTTACATGGTGAAAATCTTTCTCCCCATTTAGTATCAGTATATTGAACCTATTCATTCTGTTGACACTGAAGATTTTTCAATCTTAACTTTTTTAGATTTTAGCACACTGAATAGCACAAAACTGATTATGAAGCAGATTCACAAAGCTATAGAAAGTATATGCCAAGATCCATTTCACTTATAGGCATAAGACCACCAGAAAAAAAACTTTGGAACTCCAAAGTTTCTGAAGAGTAAAGAGCAATCCATGCTGTCCACAGGTTGGTAAGAGAGTTTCCCCACCACCAGCAAACATATCTTCTGCTTGCTACAGAATTAAATGTTCTGTATTAGCAATAGATATGTTTTCCTTGCATACAGTAATCCTTCATCTGTTCAAAAATGAAGCACTGAATTTTTGTTCATTATGAAATTCGTATCTGCAAATCCATGAAACTAACTTTCAAAGAAAGTTTCTAAACTGAAGCAAGATTTCTCACATCACCTCACCTGCTTATTCAGCTTTTAATCTAAATGTATCTTGTTTATTTCTCTTGCATTGATCACAACCATAGATTTAACATATTTAATGAAATAATTATAATGTCTTATCTGTATTGCACTATTCTTTATACTTTGTATACTAAAAATTTTGAAGTAAAATTATTTTTTGCTGTTCCTCATTTCTGTGAGATCCTGCTTTAAATAAAAAGAATTCTGTAACTCCTCTTGAATTCCTGCTCATATCTGGAGAATCAAAAAGTATTAGTATCATAACCAATTTTAAAAGTGAAATTACAGCCAATATTTTTGTGTCACAGGTTATAGTATAAACTTGGTCTACGTAAGTATTAGGCATGGAGACTGCAGCTAGGGCATCCCAACTTTTCTTTCAGAGCATGTCCCACATCATACAGTAAGGTAAAGGCCAGCCACATCATATTCCACTCCTCTGGCTACCTGGAAGAAGTTACACTGACCTGAAAGAGGAAATACTTATGAACGGTGAAAAATTCCAAGACATTTGTCTCCATCTTGTAGAGACTTCACAGTCCCTCCCAAAAATAACAACTAGCATTTTAAAAAGATCAAAATAAAGACACCCAGACAGGTTCCCTTCCACTTGGAAGAAACCACAGGAGATGCTATGAACAAGCATGAAGGCAGG